GAGCCCAACGACAAATTTTGGCCGCTACACCCGGAAAGAAGAAGGGTGATGGCTTTGGGCACAGGCACTCGGTCTTGACCGTTAGGTTATAGGACAAGAGTGGGGCACAGAGCTCATTATGACACCCGAGGGGAGAACGGGTTAGGCATGAAAGAAAACAGGTCACTGCGCAACCACCATTGGGCCCTCAGTTACCGTACTTGTTCAGAGAGGGAGGTGGTCCGAGGTTTAAGGTTTAGAGTTTGAGGTTTAAGGTTTAGGGTTGAGGTTTAAGGTTTAGGGTTTGAGGTTTAAGGTTTAGGGTTTGAGGTTTAAGGTCTAGAGTTTTAGGTTTAAGGTTTAGAGCTTTAGGTTTAAGGTTTAGGGTTTGAGGTTTAAGGTTTAGGGTTTGAGGTCTAAGGTTTAGGGTTTTAGGTTTAAGGGTTTAGGGTTTTAGGTTTAAGGTCTAGGGTTTGAGGTTTAGGGTTTAGGGTTTGAGGTTTAAGGTTTAGGGTTTGAGGTTTAAGGTTTAGGGTTTGAGGTTGAAGGTTTAGGGTTTTAGGTTTAAGGTTTAGGGTTTGAGGTTGAAGGTTTAGGGTTTGAGGTTTAAGGTTTAGGGTTTGAGGTTTAAGGTTTAGGAGTTGAGGTTTAAGGTTTAGAGTTTTAGGTTTAAGGTTTAGAGTTTTAGGTTTAAGGTTTAGGGTTTGAGGTTTAAGGTTTAGGGTTTTAGGTTTAAGGTTTAGAGTTTGAGGTTTAAGATCTAGGGTTTGAGGTTTAAGGTTTAGGGTTTGAGGTTTAAGGTTTAGGGTTTGAGGTTTAAGGTTTAGAGTTTTAGGTTTAAGGTTTAGAGTTTTAGGTTTAAGGTTCAGGGTTTGAGGTTTAGGGTTTAGGGTGGCTTTGGGGCTTTGTGGTTTGACGGTTTAATGAGGGTTTATCTGCGCGAAGAATCATGCGGAACTGCACGCTCATATGTACTGGGCCCAAAATATTGGCTGGGTTTTTCAGACTCATGTTTCGTATCTCTTTAGCATATGGCGTTTGCCTACTGATTTTTCGATCTCTGAATGAATGGGCATAGATCGAAATCCCTTCTAGCGTCGCATCGCGAGATTCCCCATTCGTCCAATGCCAAATTACGAACATGTCATACATATGAACATCCAGATTCGCTTTACCCTATAAAATCTCAAACCGGAACCAGTTTGTTCCAGTACAAGCACAGCATTCGACAAGAACAGATCTGGTTTATTGCTAAGGGATGTTAAGGGTCTTAATCTAAGTTAGCAGAACAGTTATCTACAGTAAATCATATGGCTAAACCCTAAACCCTAAACCCTAAACCCTAAACCGTATGTCATATGGTTTCCTTGTTATGGTAACTTGAATTCAATTCCTTGGAGCCTTGACAAGATCCCAGCAAAAGGTCTATCAGAACTCATTCCGAAAACGAAGGGCTACTTCAAAGGGTTCAAGTACGTCATCATCATCGTCATCATCAGTATCATCAGTCAGCATCATCACTTATACTCTGCCAAATACTAGACCACAAAACTACCATCCTAAAGCCAAGTACTTAATTGTCAGGTTGGTTGCACCCTTGTGGTGCCAAGCTGTCGCCATGTCGAACCGTCATATACCAAAGATTTGGCACTGTCAGCCTCAGCGATTTAACCCCCAGAAACCCTAAACCCGAAACCCTTATTTATGGGAAGTATCACGGAGGCTGAAGTGGAGCGCCGCGCAGCAGCCGGCGAGGTAGCTGGGGTTTATCTGGAACATTGCAAAGGTTCGGAACAGTTCGTAACAAGACTATTTCTCGGGGCTCCATATTATAATCATAACCCTACTACGTATTAAGGCGGGATACTAAACCGTTATAGTATATGGTGTCCCTCATAGAACCCTCTCCCTATATTTGGTACGGCCCGAGGTTGTTGAGTTTGCTAGTTCGGGCCATGCTGGCGACAGCAGAGTCAGAATCCGGGTGAAATGTCGCCCTCTGCGGGTTTAGGGTTATGGGCCTAGGGCTTTAGGTTTGGGTCTTGTGTTCTCAGAAACCAGTACAGGGGCTGGGCAAAACATCGATACTATTCCTTGTGGTTTCTTGGTGTTCATACATAATATACGGCCCTAAATAATTACCAACACTATTTCGGGGGGTTCCTCATTGTAAGTATAGTATTGTATACCCCAAAGCCCTATTCTAACTATTGCGGCTGCCGTATTCCATAAATTAGTAGACCTCGAAGCCCTATTACAAGCACCTAGGCGCATATAGTACAACCCCAACCAAACCGGGGTTAAGGGTTTAGGGCCTATAGCACAACGCTCCGAAAACCGGAGTTTCATTGTATGAAGATCTTGTCATGCCCATTGATTTCAGTCAAACCGAGCAATACTCAATACATTACATGCTTTGTCTCTTTCTGTGTGCATTCAGTTGTCCGTGTTGGTTTGTCGTTGATTGGACGGCTCGTCTGCAAAACCATCGTTTTCCATGTCTCCAGTCGACATCCGGACCTAAACCCTGAACCCTAAACCCTAAGTAGCACGCGCTGCTTGTTTCTGCATGCTTACCTGTCGATGTTGCTCAGTTTCTTGTGGTTGACATCGTCTGTAGCCAGGTCTCTCAAACTTGCAGGGACCGAGGTTCGACGAACCGAAACCCTAAACCCTGAACCCTAAATCCTAAACCCTCAGGTTTAGGGTTTAGGGTTTTGGGGTTTAGGGTTTAGGGTTTAGGCCCTAAGCCCTGAGCCCTAAACCCCAAACCCTAAACCCTAAGCCAGCATCGCTTGCTTGATTTCGTTCGGAGAGCTTGGGGTTGAATTCTTAAGGCCCTTGGGTCTTAGACTGGTCCTTAGATAGCCAATGGGAGAACTTTAAACTTTTGGCCTTATGCATTAAGTCTATCCTAAAGAAGTTTTGAACTTTTTTGGGCCTGGTTGTTGAAGAAGAGAGGGTCCCCTCTCAGCATGGCATGATCTAGGAAGCCTAAACCCCAGACCCTAAACCCTAATCCCTAAATCCTAAACCCTAGATAAACCCTGATCATTGAAACCCTAATCCCTAAGGCCTAAACCCTAAACCCTTATCATTGAAACCCTAGCCCCCAAGTCCTATAAGTCCTAAACCCTCATCATAAAAAAAAACCGACACCTTAAGTAAAATGCTGCCTGTAGAAACCTAGGTTCCCCAGTAGTACCCTTTTGCCCTTTTTCTTTTTGGGCTCCCTGATTAAAACTAAATAGTAGGAACAGGGTACCCTTACTATCATTCTGGATATCCAGAAGATTCTTCTTAAGTTGAGCTAACACAGCTCCCCTCCATGACATGACCGCTCTTTGAGACCCGAGGTACCCTTATTATCAAGGGGCTACTGGGGATCCTAGAAACAATCCACCCCGTTGCAGGAGCCTCTAAAAGATGAGGAGATGAGGCCAGCGGAGGCAGGATGCCAAGGGGGGTTTAGGGTGTTTGCAGGTTTTTTTGGTCAGTTTATAGGGTTTATAGGTCGGTTTATAGGGTTTATAGGTCAGTTTATAGGGTTTATAGGTCAGTTTATAGGGTTTATAGGTCAGCTTATTTGGTTTATAGGTCAACTTATATGGTTTAGGATTTAGGGTTTAGGGTTTAGGATTTAGGGTTTAGGGTTTAGGATTTAGGGTTTAGGGTTTAGGGGCAAGAAGGTCTATAGCAGTTCTAGGCTTGCATGTAGGGCTGCTATAGGGCTGTAGACGAGTTTAGGGTTCAGGGTTGTGTGCCTTTGAGTAAGTAAGAGGTTTAGCAAGATGGTTCAAGGGGAGTCTCATCGCGTCTGGGTGGGTCCTGGGGGAGGACGTGCAGTAAGCAGACTTGCCAAGTAAAATGGGCTCCATGTAACTTGTTGATGTTGCCAAACATGGGCGTTATAGGTTGTATACAGGTTGCAAAAGGGATGTACACTAAGACAATTGAGGCTATACTTTGAACGACAACGGACACGGCACTATACCCCCGTCCTTGAGTACTGAGTAAAAACCACCAAATCAGAGACCCTACATTCCATTGGTACGTTGGACCTTCGGGTTTATATACACACATATCGAGAGACACAGGTCTTTAGATACATCGGGGTGTGTGAGGTTGCATTTTCCATCATGATGCGCAGCAAGAAGGTGTTGGGTAGAGGTATAGGATACATATATAGTCTAGGACACTTTCAGGTGGGTAGCTGCCGTTATAGGAGCCTTATGGAAGGTCTAGATACCTTATAGAAGCCTTACAGACGCCCTATATACGCTAAACTCCCCACCTGTAGTTTCTTGTAATATAGGCGATCCTTATCGTGGGAGCCTCAGGGAAGTGATATTGACTTCTCAAGAACACAAGTATACACAAATACAAACCCCAAATCTAGCCAAGATAGAAGACCAGTGGAGCTTAATCCTTGAACCCCAAAAACTAAATCCTTAAAGCCTAAACTCGAAAAACCTTGAGTTTTAAGGCTATAAGTACATACTATATAGATACATGATGCCTTGTGGTTCGATGGAGGAAAACTGCCTTATGGTTAGATGGAGGAAAATGCCCTACAAGCCAAGCATAAGGCCTTGATGCGGGTCGTAGGGACGGTAGGACCACGGCATATTTCGCAGGGGCTATGCGAGATGTGTCGCAGCTGAAATGAGCTAGCTAATGCAGGCTGCGTTTGCCGAACAGCGAAGAGTATAAAGTATATGTCTGATAGAGGGTTTTTCCCTAGGCTTGCTGGAATACTGATAGCAGAAGATACCCCCCGAAGCCTGTTCCAGTCATTACGGCCCTATGTTACAGTTATAATTACCACTATTAGTGCTTGCGGGGCCCAGACTGTTGGACCCCATCTTCCCCCAATTGGACTTGTCTGCGGTTGTATGGTGCCCATATCTGCAAATCAGGGGTCATAAAGCTTTTCCGTTTATTACGCTGCCGTTGTCCATTTCCGCAGCACGATCTGCACATTTTGCGTTTGACACCAACTCCTGATCTCCCTGTTTGCCATGCTAGCTGCAGTCCTGCTCCAAATCTTGGCGCTGGGTGCTTGCGGAGACATCGTGCCAGAGCCACACGAGAAGGACCTCGACAATGACAAGGACCCCATCAAGGCATTATGGAAAGCATTGGACCTGATCTTATTTCCCAGCAGCGAGTCGTTTCGGGACTTTCGCACCCAGTTCATCACGATCCGATTTCTAGCCCCCTTGGCCGTGCTCGTGCTCACGCAGCTTGGTTCGAAGCTGGTTCAGAAGCTGGTGGAGCCATGCTTTCCTCATGTGCCTGACGACATCGACATTGAAAAGCCGTGGTCCGTGCTGACGGAAGAAGAGAAACAAAGGATTTCAGAAAAGCCGTTGAAATGGTTGGGAAAGCGTTACTACATCAATTTCGTCGCACGCCTCCTCTACCCTCCTCTCAGGCTCGTTCTAGTCCACGTAGCGCCCTGCCTGCTGGTTTTGTGGTACAGCTGGATCGAAGCCGCAGGGTCGGCATGGCAGCTCTTCGTGAAAGCCGTCCTGACGTTGCTCTACGGGCTCTACCTCGCTTTGAGCCTGCTTTGCTTCGCGGACTTCGGATGCAGTGCTCTCCAGAGCAGAGGCGGCGATGCTTCGACTTTTGCGGTGGTGTTTTTGCAGCCGTTCAATGTTGAATCGCCCTGGGAGTCAGTTGAGGGCCTGTGGAAGCGCCCAGCCCCATTTTTCACGACCAGCCCTTTCCTGTCGTGGGTGCACACCCTTGTGGCCTGGGGCGGCCTCGGCCTCGAACTCCTTGTTGTCACGGCTCTTCGTCCTGGCCCTTGCCCCGTCATACTTTTGATTTGTTTCTTGGCCAGTGTAGGCTTCATCAGCCTGGGCAGCTGCCTTCTGTGGTCAGCGCCGGGCTTTTGGAACTACCTCGGGGCCTTCCTCGGCCTGACGCCTGCAGTACCTACTGTGTTCGGAGTCATTTGTGACAGCATGGTAGGAATTTGTTGTAGAGCAACATGAGAGTCAAGCAGACAGCGGCAGGAAAGGAGCCCTGCTAAGCACCGGAAGCCCATGGCAGTTGGAGTTTCAGTGTTCAGGTAAGTTAGGGCTAGTTGTTGCTTCAAGGCGTTTCATGGGCTGGGGTATTTCGACTGCATTACCGAATTGTAGCGTTCTGGGTTAGTTGTGTTATGATGCAGAACAGAACCACGGAAAAGTCGTGATGAACGGAGGTGTCCCAATTAGAGATGGGCTCCACGTCCTACGCAAACAAAACACACTAAAATCAAACAGAATACAAGGCATCGGTCCGGCGAGCTTGTCCCGTACATCGACCCACTAAAGGTGCCATCATGGAACTGAGTAAATGCCTTATTTAAGTACGGTGGTCATGGTCGTAGCTATACCTGCTCTGGCCCCAACTAGGGAGCAGCCCCAGCCTAAGGTACACATGGCACGACTTCTAAGTAAGGTTGTTGGTCTGGTACTGTCGGCTATTGTGTCTGGGACTTGTGTGCTTGATCACAACTTTACCAGTTCATGGTTCAAGAACCTAGCGAAAGAATCAGGGGCACAGCAACTAGGTTTGACAGGGGTTAAACACGGGATTCTATCGGGTTTAGCAGGATTCGGGGTGTGGTCCTTGATAGCACCCGAAACCTATCGTCTTTCAGTAGTCTTCGCAAGGCAAAATGTTGGCAATGGTACCCTAAATATTCCCCCGAATCCCGAAATTCGGCATCGTGGCTTCGGGGTGTCACAAAAGGATTGAGGGGCTTTGCAGCAAAGAGCCGCTGCTGGAACCACACATATGGTTCTAGGTAAGGTCCTTTAACCCCTCTTCCTCAGCCTTCGCGTATAGTTACAAACCTCCACCTAAACCCTTAATCCTAAGCCGCAAACCCTAAACCCTTAACCGCTACAAGCCCCTGAAACAAAAGCAACAACTTCCCAGGCCGCTTAAGTTTCCGACTTCTCACGCCATATAACCCTAAACCCCAAGCAGCCCCAAACCCTAAACCCTAAACCCCAAACCCTAAACCCTAAACCCCAAACCCTAACCTCAAACCCTAAACCCTAAGCCCTAAACCCTAAACCCCAAGCCCCAAACCCTAAACCCCAACCCCGAACCTCAAACCCTAAACCCTAAACCCCATATAAGTTCGAAGCCCAAGCCACAGAGAGCGAAGTCGATCTCAGAAGCCCTTCGAGGCCGAAAAAGCGCCTAGGTTCCCCAGTAGTACCCTTTTTGCCCTTTTGCTTTTTGGGTTTAGGGTTCAGGGTTTAGGGTTTAGGGCTTAGGGTTTAGGGTTTTGGGTTTTGGGTTTAGGGTTTGGGTTCCCTTGTTAAAACCAAATAGTAGGAAAAAGGGTACCCTTATTGTCAAGGGGCTACTGGGGAACCGAGTCTCTCTCTCTCTCACACACAGACTAGGGTTTAGAGTTTAGGGTTTTCGGTTTAGGGCTTTGGGTTTAGGGGTTTAGGGTTTAGGGCTTAGGGTCTAGGGGTTTCTTGACCAGACATCGGAGTTTCTGGTAAATGTCCGATCCCGAAGCCCTCAACCCAGCACCCAATATACAAAACCTCAATCCTAACATCCCGGACCCAACCTCAATCCTAACATCCCGGACCCTAATTAAAACCCGGTACCCCCTAAACCCCAACCCTAAACCCTGACACTAAACCCTACTCAAAGCCTAAAGCCTAAGCTCCCAAGCTGGAGGAAGCTGATGAGCCGGATCAGCCCATGCCGGATCCCGCTGAGGTGGCAGAATCTAGAGTTAAGGGTTCCCTCAAAGAGGTTCCTTCAAGAGTGCTGTAAAGGTTTAGGGTATAAAGGTTTCGGGATCCCTGGAAGGATTCCAGGAAGGGCTTTTGTCGGGTTTAGGGTTCAGGAGTTTAGGGTGTGCTATGGGGGTCCGAAGAGATAGACTTGTATAGTACCTATAGTCTCCATTGTAGTTGCTTTTTTGGGTGGTACCTTATAGGACTCTAAATACAAAATTGGTTGAACCAAAAAAAGGAACTACAATGGAGACTATAGGCAGGGTTGAGGGTTTAGGGTCTAGGTACAACCTAGAATCAGATGATTAGAGGAATGCAGGGGAAATCCTAAACCCTAAACGCAAGTTAATACACTTACAAGTTGTTCAGGCTTCTTGACTCGTCTACCTGTTTATCCCAGCCTACAGAACAGTGGGTTATGACACTATAGACAAGCGATGCATGTCATAGGCTATTCGATCGCAGTTGAGGTTTTGGAGCTCAATGGCTAAGCATGTAGGATTTAGGGCCTGAGGGCTTAGGGCTTGGAGAATAAAGGTGTAGGGCTTAGGGTTTGGAGTTTAGGGTTTAGGGCTTAGGGTTTGGAGTTTAGGGCTTAGGGCTTAGGGTTTGGAGTTTAGGGCTTAGGGCTTAGGGTTTGGGGCTTAGGGTATAGGGTCTGGGGCTTGGGGTTTGGGGCTGTTTGGGGGTTGGATCTTGCAGCGGCTTATAGAAAGACATGGTACCATGCACTGGTGATAGTGGCCTGTAGAATGCATCCCAGACACAGGGCAAGGATTCAAAACCCTAAACCCTGGACCCTGAACCCTGAACCCTAAACCCGAAGCCTTTAGGGGTTTGGGGTTCAGGGTTTGAGGGTTCCTTGGATGCAGTCCTGTGGCCATAGGGGGTTCAGAGGGGGCAGGGTGATATTTCTAAAGACATCGTTTAAAGACCGTATATCACACGTTTCTATTTTCAAAACACGCCTCTGTGTTAGGGAAGAGCTGGTTGTCTCTTTTGGGGCTTCCAGTGTTTGTCGCTGAGCGCTTTCAGCTCACAGTCGTCTTCCGAACGGCTGGTTATGGTTGAAAGTGGGGGGGCAGGTAGGGTAACTGAAGTCTCTAACCTACTCGATGGTAGGTTCTGACCCCCATTGCGGTATTTAAATTTAAAAGAGCCGGGAACGTGTTAATTGTATCGAACAGGTATTCCCGAAACCCCAGCCCAACACTTGAACTCATACCCAAACGCCAAAAAGACCCTAATACCTTTGAGCATCTAACTCAGCTTGCAATCAGGGACCTTACGTTTGAGGTTTAAGATATAGGGGTTTCCGACAATAGGGGACCCTAATATGGTACCCCAAATAGTAGGATCCTTATGATAAAGGACCCCTAACTAAGGCACCCCCAAACCCTAAAACCCTAAAACCCTAAACCCTAAACCCTAAACCCTATTCTCTGAAACTCCCCATGTAACGTACCCCTAAACCCTAAAACCCTAAACCCTATTCTCTGAAACTCCCACAATGTATTCCTGTGTTATGAAGGCCAAGCCGCCGGCGGCCACGCTCACAGAGGCCGGATTTGAGGTTTGTTTCATAGGGTTTAGGGCTTTAGGGGTTTAGGGTTTAGGCTTTAGAGTTTAGGGTTTAGGGTTTAGGGTTTAGGGTTTTAGGGGTTTAGGGCTTTAGGGGTTTAGGGCAAAGGGGCGGGGTGGGGTTTAGGGTTTTGGGGTTTAGGGTTTAGGGTCTAGGGTGTAGGGTTTTAGGGTTTAGGGTTTAGGGTCTAGGGTGTAGGGGTTTGGGTTTAGGGCTTTTATCCAGGGACCCACAGGGAGATGCTCAGGACAGATGCGGTTTGGGTACGGTGCTTCAGTGGTCCCTGCAAAGCTATGTTGGATGTTTTTTATGTATGGTAGGTGTCGCTGTGTCATGTTATGCTATGATATGTTATACTATATTGTGTTATGCTTAGTTGTTCTGCCATGGTATGCTATGCTACCAGGCTGTCTGGCTGGGATCCTCTAAGGAGGCATGTTCGATTGGGATGGTAATGCCGACTATTTCAAACTCCAACTTTTGGGAGTTGTTAAACCATGATGCGACACCTTCGGTCTACAGTCTACGGTATACCTCTGAATTGCGGCGTATCGGCCTTTTGGGGGGGGGAGGAGGGAACGCTTTAGAACTCCAGGGTTCTATGTGTGCGACCCTAAACCCTAAGCCCTAAACCCTGGACCCCTGAACCCTAAACCCTAAACCCTAAACCGTCGAAGCCTGACAGCCAGAGCGGTTCAGGCGGAGATGAAAGTCGTCTTCCGGCCGGCGGTGTCCTGGCTTTGGCACATGACATTAGCCCAGAGGGTCCGAGTACCCAAATAGCAAGGTTTTAGGTCCCAAAATCCATACTCTGAATGGTTTCTGGACCCTGAAACCCTACTATTTGGGCACTTGGACCCTTAGGGTAGGATTTAGGTGCAGAGTCTGGGGTCTTAGTGTTGACTTTTGCGTTAGGGGTTTTATCAACGGGTCAACCGTCGGTGAGTCAACCGTCGACCTCCTACGGTGCAGGGTTTCTTGGAGGTTCATGGGTAGTTATAAGTGGAGTTATAAGTCCCTTAATATAGGTTATAACTATAGTTACACTACTTATAACCCTACTTATGACTACCCATGAACCTCCAAGTTGGGGTTGCAGGGAGGACTCGAGGCTTGGAATACTGGGCGTAGGCGATGGTGGCGGATGGAGCTTGTGCTTCTTTACCCTAAACCCTAAACCCTAAACCTGGTAAGAAAAGCACCCTCTGCATTGGCTACGGTTCTTATCAGCTCGACCCTTAAACTATGTATAACTTAGGAGCCCAGTAGGTAAACTTTAAGCTTTTTGGTATATTACACCCCCTACTAAAAGAAAAGTTTAAACTTTTTGGGGCCAGGGTACTGGGCTTCAAGGATAACATATATATGTATATATATATATGTATATGTACATATGTACACATACATACATACATACATACATACATACATCCATAAATCTCTCTCTCTCTCTCTCGCGCTCTCTCTTTAGATTTATACAGCACCTATGAAACGGACCTATCAGGTACCCCTTGCTTTACCTCATAGCTGGACCCTGACCGCTCGATTGTAACAAAACAGCTCATATCCTATTGGTAAGTCAGGGTGCATGTGGTCTGAGGGCATATAGCTCATTAAATTAGAGCCAACCCTGAACCCCCAAACCCCCAAACCC